CCCCCCCCCACCTCCTCTGTCTGTCTCTCTTTCTTGGGCATTTTGCAACATCAGTGATCAGTTTAAAGTGGTGTTGGAATAAAAATGCTGATTTTCCAAGGAGAAAATGCCAAGATTTTTATTTCAAAATGCTTGATCTTTAGGCAACGTTACAGTTGGATCCAAAGGTCAGATTTACAATAGATGATGCTTACAATCACCCAGCATTTCAACAGGAAAGAGACGAGTTTGAGAAAACCTGGAAAGAGAAGAGTACAGATCTCAAACAGGCTGCGAAAAAGGCCGAAATTCCAACCAAATCAAGATATTTTTCACATAAAGGATACTCATCACAGGGTATCACGGCAGTGGAGAGCTTACAAGAGTTGAAAACACAAGACATAAAACCAAATTCGCACGGTAATCCACCGCTTGGCAAAGATTTTAGTGCTGAGAAGAAGCTCGTCATGCAGCAGATGGTTGCTAAAGAAAGGCCAAAGGACAGTAATCAGCAGGATGATTCATCAGACAAAAATAGAACTTCTGATATTGAAAACTCCGAGAAGTCTGAAAGTTGTACATCAGCGCCAAGCGTTGAAATATCAAAGGGATCAGGGAATTCCCCTTTATCAGTGAAACAAACTGTTTACAGTTCTGTAGATATCAAACCTCGTAATTCTAATTTAACTGGAGCAAGAGCAACTACTTCTCAAACTGAGGAAAGAACTAATCTCGCTCAAAGCGATAAGACTAGTGTTACAGAAGATGAAGGAAGGGCAAAGGCAAAGACCAGCACTGGTGTTAGCACCAGCCATCTTGTGGCTGCTAATTACAGCTTCTTCCCTGCAGATAATGAGGACTCTGAGGTTGACCACTCAAAGAATACAAAGGTAAGGAGTCTCTGCCGTTTTCTTCAATATGTGTTAATATTTTTTTATTTTTATTTTTTAATCAAAGTGTGTGAAGAAGCCAGCAATTAAGCATTGCGGAATCTGAATTGTCCAAAAAGGTAACAGGTTTGGAGGCGAAAGCCTTTGAAAAGAAACTGGTTTTTAAATCATTTTTACATTTTTTTAGCTGCCGTATGGCTCAGCAACAATCGCCGAAGAAATCAGAAAAACCAAGTCTGTGATCCTTGGCAAGAAAAAGGACCGGGACGGCTCCGCTTCTGTAAAGTCTAGGCCTCAGCAGCCGCTCATGTCACGCAATGAGGTGTGTGACTCTTTAACTCTTTTCATGGGTCCTAAGAATGCAGACTTTTGTTTTACGTGGCTGATAGTCTTTGTGTGACCTGTGAATGTGACCTTGTGAAACACAGTATGAAATGTTACGCCCGTGAGGTACAGCATTTATTGTAATGTATAGAGTCGGACGTAAGAGATCACATGACATGTTAATGCAAGCTCTGGCTCACAATAACCTTCTAGGTGCTCTCGGCGTCCTCTGGTCGTTTTCTTTCTTTTGAGGTGACTGACAAGCAAGTGACAGGAGGGAAGTGAATCGAGGTCGAATTTTTCTTCAGCCTTAGAAACAGAATACTCCTAAGGAGAACCTTTCCTACTTAACGCCGTAATAGAGACCAGATTCTGGAACTTTTTTTTCCCCGACTGTAAATGGGACAGGAAACGTTCCTCCAGATCCCCCCACCCCCGGCGACTCAGAGAATACCGCTGTCGGTGTAAGCTCTCTCATCCGTAACCCGAAGTTTGAGCACTAATCCCTTAAGGCATAGAAAAAAAGGTTCTCTTTTGACTCGTGTAAGTGGGTTATGTTTTATTCACAGACCATGGACCTGCAAAAAGCGAAGGGAATTCATGATAGGCAAGGAGGGAAAACGGTTTTCACAGGTAAGTGTAGAAATTGACGGTTGTGTGTACTCCAGCAAATTTATTTCGTTACATGCTAGTTGTGTCTGCTTTTCTAAAAACCATGCCTGAGTTTCCCGTGCCTTCTCCTTTTTCATCAGATGCCGCTGCGTCCAGTCGAGAAGAAGCTCTCCAGTCGAATTATTCCTTCCAAATGGGAATGAACACAGAAAGAAGAGGTTCAAAATCAGACTTACCCTCATCAACTTTGGAGCACGGGGTGTCGCTTGTTAAACAGCGTCAAGATACACAATGGTAATGCCAACTCAACCATTTCAGCTACAGCAGAAATTTATGTATACTTGTTATCCCAAGTCTTGGAACGAAATGGTTCACGCACAGAATTGGCGTTCCTCGCCCGTACAGGGAAGCTGTATTTTTTCAAGGGTGTGACTGATTTCTAATAAAACAGTGAGGACGATTTTAAAAAGTTACCTCCTCAGGGCGTAGATCCGGCATATTCCCTTGCATAATGATTTTTAACCTCTTTTATTGTGTTCATGATTGTTGATTTGAATTGTAATTCACTCAGGAGGCAAGACTTTGGTGGTGAAGAAAACCAACCGAGAAACTCTCTAGGACAAGACAAAAGGGACAAAAAGAAAAAGAAGAAAAAAGTGCAACAGGTCTGTGGAATTAATCCCTTGTTATTATTCTTATCACAGTGAGAACTGCTTCTTTCTGTGTACGCTTGCGCACGACTGTGCCCGGTGTAGTATTCATTTCGGTGATCGATTTAAGGTGGCTGGATACAGTTTCCCAAGTGTTGATGATGTGCTTAAAAACCAACCCTCCCCCTTTGCAGTTGACGAAAAGATTGAAGTTTGAAGTAGTGGACATATCATGGCGTGGCAATCGTTTGCCTTTAATACGAAACTGTCATGTGGAAATCTCGTTAAACAATTTTTAGGGAGAGCCTCAGGAAACCCTCGATAGACTTTTTTTCTCCACTTCAGGATTTTCTTTTTGGGGCTAGGCCCACTACTGAGTGAATTTCAACAATTATTTCTAGCCATTTCCAAATTATGATGCCGCAAATTGAAGGTTATTTTTCATTTTTGATACTGACGTTGTCATACAAACCTTATCACTTAAGTCTCCTGTTAATGAAGATTCCACATATTTATCTGCGAATGCTCAACTTGGAGTCATAAGAGTCATAAAAAACCAAATACGAAATGCGAGATAAAACCTGGCACGACAGACTGAAAGAAAGTCTCATCGATCAGTTGTAACAGAAGCATAATTATCTGAACCAAGGTTATATGCTCCTGGTGTCGATGAATGGGTTAAAATCGATTGACTTGTGTGTATCTTTTTCTCTGCGGACGCTTAAACTGCTTACGGAAGTGTCTTATCTTAATTTTTTTTCCCAGGTGGTTAGCCTACCGGTGCAGTCAAAGCAATTTCATCACCTAGAATCACAGGGGTAAGTGGACACAATAAACTTGATGACTGCTTGTAGTTAATACCAAGATTGTTTCACTTTTAATTGTGAAGAAATCTTGAAATCCAAACAAATCACCGCTCAATGAGTCACTCTTCGGACTGAATAATCTGGTGTGAGCCTCCGTTTCAAATTTTTGGATGAGTGGTCCTCTTCTCTTTCTTCGAGACAATGCATTCATCGAATGTAGAATGTGTAGTGAAGTAAAACCGAAAGGAAAAAGAGATGATAGTTTTTTTCTCTGTCTTCATCATTTGCCTGGTTTAAGATTAAAGGATATTTTAAGGGGAAATGTCTTTTGCGTGTCTACTTTGTATTTCATGCTTATCAACAAAACAAAAGGTATGTTTCAATTTGGTTGAGTTTCATTTTTTTCTTGTCTGTTTGCCTTTAGTGAATTAAGTAAAATGGCGGACTGGAGCAGAAATGCTGATGTACAGGTAAACTCCTAACACTCATTCAACGTAACCGTTTGGAGCATGTTTTAGGTGTGACGTTGATTTTTCTTTTCTCGTTCAGTTTTAATGTTGGTTTATATTGATTAAAAACAAAATCGATCAATTGTTTTCTTTTTCAGTCCTTCGATATGCGTCCTCATAAAAGCCTAGGGAAAATGAACTCTGCTGACAAGGTAAGTTTCTCAGAATTGTCTTGATACGGTAAGGTTGAAATAAGACAATACTGTAGGATTATTAGGTGATTTGAGTAGCTTCAGTGAATTTTCTCGAGCAGAATTCATTTTCCTTTGAAAATCTGTTCAGACGTCAGCCAGGGAAGCGAGGGGAACAAGTTAAGACGAGGCCTTGTGGAAAACTTTTTGCGTACGTCTTTTTGAAAGCGAACAAAGTCTTTTTTGAGGTTTTGACTTGCTCATTAGCTTTTCTTATCTATTAACGAGTTCCCTCCAGAAATCTGCAGTGTGACTTCTTGAAAACATAATTTAAAAAAAGACGAATTTGTTGTTTTACGATAATATCCTTGGAAAGTTTTTTTTTTCTGTAAGAATACGTGAGCGATTAGATGGTTGATCACAGTGTACCAGCTCGCTAATCTTCTGGCCTTCTCTCTTTCTGAAGACTGGATTAATTTTGTAATATATTTAGAAGATTAACGCTCAACGTCTTTCAACTAATGGTTCGTTAACAAGAGCCAGTGTATTTTTTAAGGGTGTCAGCAATCCTTCAGTCGGAAACCCAATGGGATGAGCTTGCATTTAATTGGACGATAACACACTCGACTTCTCTCGTTCCTTCAAACAGGTTGTAACACACCTCGGACCACTTACAGTCAGCTCATCTCACAAACCTCTTGGAGAAGTTCGCCTTCAGCCTCTCCAACACAAGAACTTAGCTCATTTAACACACAACACGTACCCGACGCGCAAACCACCGGCTAAGCGCGAAAGCCCAGATTCTCAACCCCTAGGATCTCTGTCACCTTGGAGGGGACAATCGGCTTTCTCTCTACAAGGTCATTCACAAAAACATACCTTATCAGAGCCAGGGAATTTTACCTTTCCTGACCGACCAGTCAGCCCGTCGACCGAACATTTAGCGCCTTTACCAAGAAAAGCGTCGCGACCTCCTTCTGAAAATGAGGCGACGACTGAGGATCGAGACTTGAAGCTGGGTACTCCTTTTAACGGACTGAAACCGCTGACACCCCCCAAGGAGAATTTTAGCAAGTCCGGGGGTCGGGTGCCGGATCTAAACAAACTGGAAGAAACACCCTTATAGCACACTTCTGCGCAGTTATTTTTCCTCCGAATCGTTTCTATACTGCAGTCGGTACTGTGGATGTTGTGGCTTGGTGTTATCACTGCTTGAGATATTGTTTTTTTGGTTCAGTTTCCTATGACATGGGCTTGAAACAAAGATGAAAGAAAGCAGCGATGAAATTAACCCACAACATTTATAACTACTAAAGCAGTTTTCAATTGAGTGTCGAAAAAATGAAACCAAAGTATTCCCAGCCACCAATCAGAACAGAGATTTACATCATTAACCAATGAGAATTCAAAGCGAAAACAAGCAAACTGCTTGAAGCGCGGGAAAACGCAGGTGACCAAGTTGCGATGGTTTTTTTGTATTTAATTGGTTGAGAGGATGCTGCGATTTTTCTGGACCAATCACAGAGCAAAGCTCAGTTAAACCAGAGCAATCACGAATTACTTTCGACACTCAGTTGAACATTTTGTCATTTTAGATGATTTGGTTTAATCCAGCTGAAGTTTTCTCGCAGAAAGCAGCCGCAGCGTCTGTAAGTTTAATTCAAAAACCTAAATCATAGTCGTATTTATGCGGATTCAAATCATATTTCCATGTACCCTTTTTTATATGGTTTGATGATAAAGTCTTTGAAACACATCCCTCGTAGTCTTCCATAACTGGTTCCTTGTCTAAGTGACTTAAAAATTTCAAAGCCTTATTTTGCTCTAACATACATCATCCAGAGTACAAATCACATGTCATTTTTTATAAAATATTTATTATGAAACAATTACCTTTCGGAGCCTTGTCTCTAAGTTCGAGAGCATTTCAAACTTAAATAAAGAAGAGGTATATCTATAAATTGTTGGCTAAACGTCAGTTGCTTTTAACTGTGATGAGATTGTATAATATGTTGTTTATGCATGAAAGTTTGTATGAGTTTCTTACAACGCGAGGTTCATTCGCTACTCAGGTGAAGTTTGAAGTCAGTAAAAGAGTATTACTTAACTTTTACGCAACGTTACGAGTATTTACATGATGAGTAGGTCTAACTGCCACAAAGATAACTTGGAATAGCTGCATGTCCTTCCGCTGGAGGAAATGACTGCATTTGTATACAGTACTGAATCAAGAAGAGATGCACTGGGGTGAACTGCTTCAAAGTTTAATGTCGCCAGGTGAAAAAAAGCGAGAGAAAATGCAGCGAAGAAGCTCTCAGGAAGCTCCTCCGTCAATGCCTGGATATTAGTAAACACATGCACTTAGAAAGTTTCACCATGTATATGAATACGCCTTTTGTTTTTTAGTTGTAAATAGCCTTTATTTTTGCGAACGGTTTTTAATTGAATGTCAACCCTGCGTCGTGTTGACATACTAAGCACATAGTTTTATGGTCGTTCAATGTGGTATGCATAAGTTATTTGGTTCAAACTCCTTTTGTAGCGGTCACTTACTATTAAGCGAAAAAAAATTAAATTATCGCAGAAATTGAGATTATTTTCGAGTGGATGTTAATCATTATCAATCGTGCGAATTGACTTCAAGATTTTTGACAAATTTTGTTCCTCAATTTGTATAAAGTGAAGGTTATTTCTTTGTTTTGCTTCTGAAGTCGTCTCTTAATGTCTGATTTTTGTTCACGACATGAAAAAGGAATTAGGTGGATCAAAGTTTGATACTAATTCAAACGAAGTAGTCGGTTTTCTCCTTAATTTTTCTTCCTTTTCCAACTTCTGTCTTTCTTCTCTCACAGCTTTACCATTGTTCCCATTGCCAAATTATCTCGCAGTTTGAAGTTATTAAATTCAAAATTCTCTACGAGAAGTTCAGCCTCCAAACTTTTTGACATCTGAGAAAGATAAAATATAAGAAAACAAGAATTCCCTTCCAAGACAACCCCGTGGCGACGGAAATCTACTAAAAGTTTAACACCCAATTGAACAGAGACCAATGAGACGAAACTGTTTCAAGAGGGGACGGAGTAATGTTTGTAGTCACAGCTAAATCCAGAGACCTGTTTATTTTGGTTTGAACACTCAATCAGGTTCAGTCACTTCATGAGAGGAAAGTAAACACAACCTGCAACTGAGCTCAATGATTGCGTGACATTTTCAGCCGATCAGCCAATCACAGACCGTGTCCGAGCCGGTCAGTTTCGCTTTTTAGCTCGTGTGCATCAGAAAAGGAAAAGCTCGAAAAATGACGTGATGGAGGGTGGTGCTTATGGTTAAGAAGCTTTAACTTAAGGACGGGATAGTTACTGCCAGGAGTTTAGAGCGAAGATCTTCATATTTCCTCGCAAAAAAGCTTTGCGTGCAGTGTATCTGGAACAATGGAGCGATTAATACTGCTTCTGGTGGCATATTTCATTTATTTGCGGGTGGCTCTTGTTTTCTCACGTCCCAGTGCAAAAACACGCACGCTGGGCGACGACGACTGGACGCACCATAATTTCGATCAAATGACCGCCTATCTTCAAGATCTTCATCGACAGTACCCAAAAATCACGCGTCTCTACAGCATTGGAAAATCGGTGCAAGGCCGAAAACTTTGGGTCGTGGAAATCTCTGACAATCCGGGCAAACATGAGCCCGGTGAACCAGAGTTCAAATACGTTGCTAACATGCACGGTAACGAAGTTGTGGGACGCGAACTTCTTTTGCATTTGGCGAAAGCATTCTGTGAAAATTATGGCCGTGATGCGAATCTCACCAAAATGGTTGACACCACTCGTATTCACTTGATGCCAAGTATGAACCCGGACGGCTACGAGCTTGCAGCAGAAGGTGAGAACAGGAAGGATTGGATTATCGGACGAAGCAATGCGAACAATGTTGATCTGAACCGTAACTTTCCTGACCAGTTTTTTAAAAGCGTGACGGGACCGCCTCAAATCGAGACCATAGCTGTGATGAAATGGATCTCTGAGTATCCCTTTGTGTTGAGTGCCAACCTCCATGGCGGCTCCTTAGTGGCAAATTACCCATTTGATGACAGTCCAACTGGGCAGAGCGAGTACAGTAAGTCTCCAGATGACGACGTCTTTAAAGAGCTTGCCAAATCCTATTCTGAGGTGCATCCAACTATGCACCTTAAGAATCCACCCTGGCCTTGCCCTGAAGTCCCCCCGGATCACTTCAATGATGGTGTCACAAATGGAGCAGCTTGGTACAGCGTGTCAGGGGGGATGCAGGATTATAACTACATGCACTCAAACTGCTTCGAGATAACCATAGAACAAGGCTGTAAGAAGTTCCCAGAGGCAAGCCAATTACCTAAGGACTGGGAGGAAAACAAACGAGCACTAATAGCTTTTATTGATCAGGTATGTGGCGGTTGTGAGTGAAAAATAAGGAATGTCGAAGCAACAGCTGCTTTGGTGAAGACTGTTCGGACCAACTGCTTTCATTTTAAACTTTTTTGTTTGTTTGTTTGGTATGGTCGGTCAATTGGCATACATAAAGACTCAAAGATTTTATCAAATTACTTTTCTCAGGATCAAATTAAATAAAAAATTAAAGAAAAAGAGTTTTAGAAAAACTTGAAAAAGAATTGAATAATTGAACTCAATAATTTCTAACTGAGTTTAAAATAAATCCACTTCAAGTTACTTTTTTGACATTAAGATACCAGAAAATGTGCCTTCAAAGCTTTTTACTGTTGGAATACTATTTTATTTGAACAGCTTCATAAAAATATATTTTTCTGTAATTAATAAAAATTATGTAGCCAGAAACATTCTTGCAAGTGTCAGTGACAGCCGATTTCGCAGATTTCGTGGAAAATAATATTTATTGCCTTTGTTGTACGTAGGTACACAAAGGGGTGAAAGGGTTTGTAAAGGACGGCCAAGGAAATCCAATTCCTGGTGCACATATCCGCGTTGACAATCGTAAAAAAGACATTATAACTGCAAAAGATGGGGATTATTGGCGACTTCTTCTCCCTGGGGGCTACAAAGTCACCGCCATGGCCGTGGGATACGAGCCCTTATCAAAGGATGTTACAGTAACCGAGGGAGATGCCAAAGAGCTGAACTTCGTTCTGAAGAAGTCAGCCCGGGGAAACAGCTCCCTGGACTCCGAACAGGTAGACAGTAATGATGAACCAAATCCTGTGGAAGATTCAAAACCGGAACCCGGATCCCCGACTAATGTTGGCTCCATGGAACCGAGCGGGGCTCCCGTGGGAGGCATGACAATGGGGGATGGGATGTCGGACGGTGGGGACTACGGGATGGTTATGACTGGAGGTGGTATGGGAGCTCCGTTACAGTTGAACGATCAATTCGGGGTGTCTAATGCTGTGGAATCTCCCAGTGAAAACGCTGGTGGGGGGATAAGTATGGGAAATAATTTCGACACGGGGGGTCCAATAGGGGATGCGGAGCTTGATCGTTTTGCGATGATGTCCCCCTATGAGGCTCAGTCTAAGGATAATACCAAGGGGCTTTTTCGTGTCTCAACCGACGAGCATGAACCCCACGCCTTATATGCTAACGACGGCGAAGGGAATGGGAACGATAATCAAGCCGAGACCAATATCATCAAAAAAAGCGAGCTCGGTAGACCCCGAAAGAAATGAGTATATCGTTAGTTTCTGATCAGCAATCGAAGCTCCGTTTTTTTCCCTTCAAATTAGGGTGCTCTAAAAAAAAACTAAGGAATGTGCTTCAGTGAATGAATAATATAGATTGATGTGTGGTTTTAAGTGTTCTCTGTCGATTTAACGCATATCGCATCTCGAATAAACCCCGGATCACTAAGCTCCCTTCACACGGCAAAATTTTGATTAAAAGCTGGAGGAATCCTGTTTTCCCAGGGTAAAGTAACCACTCAGCAACGATAAACAAATTAAAGATCCTTTGTTACAAGAACATCAGCTGATTTTCTCTATGCTTTGTTAATGTTAGCCCCTTGATTTATCGACAACAGCGGTGAATTTTCTCCGGAGACGAAAGTAGTCTCTACTAAGTTTTATCACATGAAACCCGGA